TTGGGGGGGGGGGGGTTCTTTTTTTTTTCCGCCCGTCGCGAAAACGCCGGAGCCCGGATTCCGGACCGTGAAAATCGCTTTCCACCGGAAATACGAACACCGTGCGTATCGTTACCGTTGACGAGCCGTTACTGTTATCGGAACGAATCTCCGGGGCGCCGCGCGCGCGCGCGCGACACACGTTCGCGCCGATACATGTAAACATTAAAAGTCGGGTCGGGTTTTACGAGGCCGCTTTATAAGTATTACGGCGGCGGCGGACGTTGTTAACACCGGACGGACCATACGGACTACATTATGCGGTCGGTTTTTTTTTTTTTTTTTTTTTCAGTATTATTATTTTTTAATACGGTCGCATTTCTCTTTACAATACGCATTCGGCTGTATAATCCCCCGCGCGCTCGGCATATACACACGTCTATACATGTACGTACTATAATCCCGGGGAAAAACGTCGCCTTCCGTTCTTTCGAATAAATATTTACTTTTATCCGCGTATAGATACGAAATACTCTGTAGTTTTTTTTTATTTAAATATATATGTACATTTTTTTTTTATCCCCGCTATAACGGACCGGACCGGCTAACGAATTCGGCGAACGATTCGATTACGTTCGCGCGCGTTTTGTAACAACATTATAATTATGCCTATGGAAAGTGAAAACGGACGGCGATCGGATTTTTTTTTTTTTTTTTTTTTCAAAGTCGGCCGTATTATTACAATTTACAGGTCTAAAAAAAAAAAAACAGAAAAAAAAGAATTAAAGAAAATAGTGAATTTTATTTGGCGTTGAAAAATTTTTTTTTAAATAATCGTACACTGTAATGTAGCGAACGTAATGCTATCGTAATATTGTACGATTGAAAAACGCGATTCACTACGGCACACCAGCGTGCCGAGCAATAATTCGACCGTTCCGGATTCCGGAATACGCATAAATGTAATCCGGATTTCGGATCCGGAACGTACGCGTCCGACGGATCGACTCCGGATGATGCGGACCGTAACGTTTGTGACAGTCCCGATCGATCCGCATCAACCCGGGGATCCGATCGTACAGCGCTAATATTTACGACGATATTATCGGCGTTATCATAAGCGACAGGCCGTCCGCGTCGTTTGTCGCCGTCCGTCGACCGCATAACCCGTGAAGACACCTGTTCGGCCGCCCTCGAAATGATCGATACGTGCCTATACCCGTGTACGTTACACGCGTGCGAATTAATTTTTTTAATAATTTTTCAGTTCGCGTCACGTCCGTCACACACACACACACACACACACACACACACACACAATCCGGCTCGGGCCGCGTACACGGTATTTCCATTATGCGATTTTATATATTACATATATATGTGTATGTACGGCGTATATTATATTGTTTAGAAAAAAAAAAATGCGTATAATATGTACGTGCGAGTGTACGCGCCGCACTACACACTACATAATATACTTACACAGCGAGCGACGACGACAATTTATCGGCCGCCTTTAATATTATTTTATAATATTATACGCGCGGACGTAGGTCCGCGCGACGACGCAACACACGCGCACACGCACAAACGCTAGCGAAACACGCGCACACGCGCGCACATACACACGCACACGCGCGCGCACAATATTATATTATGTTTCGCGCGAGCACCGTGTTATACGGCGCGCGTGCCTCACTTTCGTTTCGCGGTCGTGATCGACCGGATCGATCGGTCGGAGATTTCAATCGCGGATTGTCGTCGTCGTCGTCGTCGTCGTTGTAGTCGCGGCGGCGCATATTAACCGCGTGTACGATACAATAATACCGGTAACTGCGGGTATTCGCCGGCCGTGCGTGTAAAACGGACACGGTAACGCACTATTACCAATGTACGGATGTTGTGTGTAAAAAAATTATCGTCTCCGACAAAACGCTCGCGCCGCGCCGAGTACGCGCGATACGCAACCGACTAAAATACGCGCGTATTATTGTCTGATCCGGAAATTCGGTCGTCGCGGGGAAATTCGTGCCGCGGGATTGGTCCGGGCTCGGATCGAGGGAGGTGGGGCAGGGGGGACCGGGTCTCCGAGCCCCACAAAGATCACATTAATGATTCGAATCAAATATTTGAGAATCTTCTCAGTTTTTCGGGGCTGGATATGTCTCCGAGTGTTATTCTTCTTTTCTTCGTCCCGACTACAGTGTGGGTCCTAAACTCCCACTCGGCTCGATCCTCCGCATAGTTCTCGCATCGTTTGTCAATCGCATCCGACCACCTCTTTTTCGGTATTCCTCATCCCCTCTTTCGCTCTACGTTTATACTCGTTACAACGCTTACACTGCGCCCCATGCCCAAATCATCTCGGTGCATTTTCTTTCATTTGTTTACTATACCGAAGTCACGTCTAAACTAACCGGAAATTCGATCGCGAAAATTTGTACCGCGAAATATTCTATCGGATTCGATTTTTTTCATTTTACTTGCATTTTTCGTCTGTGCTCAGCTCAACGTGGTTTTTCATCGATTAGATAACAGGTTTTTTTAGATTTACTGCACGCGGGATGCTACCTTCCTTGGGGCCGTATCAGGTTTGGACAGACGTGTTAGGTTTCAGTCCCGAACGAGGAATCAGAGATAACACACCTCTTTGTTGATACGTGCATATCGGTTGTACCGTGACGAGCGACGGATTTTATTTCGTGTACGGTATGTTAACGTGCGACCGGGACGTATCACAGAAAATAAACGGCCATTTAAAATGAGATAGAGATAAAACTCATTTTCCGAAGATAATATTAATTAGTAGTAATACTTTTTATTCGGTGTTCAATATAATACTATATGATAATACGTTATAATTTTACCTGTATATCATTATAAAATATTTGTATGCGATATTGTAGCACTTACCTTCTTGCGAAAATCCGTTGACGCTGCTGCTGCTGCTGATGTTTCCCGATCCCACTGAAACGAAAAAGAAAAACCATCAAGAAGTTTATACGTTTCGGATAAATCCCGTGAGGCGGCGTCGTCTCGGATCGTAAATCAAAGTTCGTTTCGGATTTCTCTATTATAATCTCTTTTAAAATTATGTAGGTAAAATGTATTATTGTTATTATGTAAGAAATACGTTTACACGTTCCCAAAGCAAATAAAAAAAAAAAATAAATACGATCCGTGACTTTGATCCGCGCGTTGTGAGTTTCACGACGACAGCAAATTATCAAATATATATATATATGTAAAAACAAATAAATAAATTATTAGAAAAAGAACAAAACACATCTTCAAGTGTTCGAAAAGTTGTGCGTGTACGCACGACCGGTTTCGATTTCAAAAACTGTTATTACGTAATAGAACAACATGGGTGAAAAAATTGAACGTAAAATCAAAAATTAAGAAGACGACAAATTTATAGGAACAAATTCATATGGTTTACACAGTGAGTAAATCTGCAATAGTATTCGAGTAGATGGCGATGACAACTACGCGATAAAATGCCATAGATTTATGATGTTGTATTATTACACACGAATATCGGTATACGAGAATATTATTTTTAAAGTCTAACCGGCGCATTCAAAATCTCATTTTCCTCGAGCTCATTATACATAAACAAGCAACTTTCAGTGTTTTTTTTTTTTTTTTTCTTACAACTCCCGGTTCGGTTTTGTTCTTGCTCTAATAAGTTAATTAATGTTGTTATTTTTATTTTTTTACTTTATTTATATTTGATATTTTATAACTGAGTGTTAATCCAAAACAACTATTGTTTTCCGACAATAATAATATGTTTACATAATAATTAATATTGATAATGAACGATTAGCAGACAGATCAAAAATCAAAATATTCGAGTTTTTGTGAGTTTTGGTCCGTCTTACTTTTCTCATTTTTACCATCGTCGTGGTGCATTTGCTGTTGCGTCTGATGCATGAGGCCTTGCGCGTGCATCTGATGTTGCGGCATGGTGTGGGGGTGCAACGAGCCACCATGGTGCCCCAAACCGAGCTCCATTCCAATCATAGCCCCTTCCACGGTGTCATTCACCTCGCCTGTTAAAAAATTCGATTAAATTTCAATTAAATAATCGGTAAAAAGTAAACCGTGAAAATGCGCAGTAACTAGTAAGGGGAAGCATGCATTATTTTCTGACAACAGCGCCAGTACGCCGCCGCAGGTAAACGATAAATTAATATTACGTTCAACGGTTTTAAAACGACGACAACGACCAACGTAAACGGAAACATATTGCGTTTATTTATTTATTCAGTTTTTTTTTTTTTTTTAATTTTAGGGTCGTGTATTTATTAGTTCAAATAGGTACCGACGTGTTACGTACACGTTATATTATATCATTATATTGTTACGGTACCTATTATGGAGGAACGTTGTAATATAAAATATATCTGTTTATTTTGTTTTCTAAAAATTAGAAAAAAACAAAAATAAGTATATTATAATGTATGATTATAAACGGGTGAACAAAAAAAAAAAAAATGTAATTCTGTTTAGTTTATCGGATGTTTTTTTCTTTTTATTCCAGCGATTCGAAACGGTTTTGACATTATTTTTTTATTTTTTTTTTTTTTCATATTACTTATTTTTTCTTAATTAAAATTATTCACCGCGAACCCGCACTGCCTACACACAACTGTCACCACGTCCGCGCGTGCGTAAGAATAATAATTAACGTAGACGCTAATTTTTGTTTCAACTCGCTCGTTTCTCGGACCGCGGAGTTTGTGTTCGGAAACCGAAATACAAGTCGAAAAATACTTTCGCACCGTCACCGTCATTATAATAAAACTACGCGATCGGTTAACAGCGGTTTCTGTTACCCGGGTGGCCTCTGTCCGTCAACCTGCGATTAACGGCTTCGCCACGATTTATTTGACGAAAACAACACCGCCGCCGAAATCTTTCACGTGCATTTATCAACGATCGCATTCGATAATCTATACGGTTCCCAATTAATTTATCGTAAAATTTTCTCTAAAAACAGTGACCGCACTGGCTGCGGTGCGTCTTTCATATACAGTGCATTGTGTGTACAACGTTACGGTCCAAACTGAGAAACCGGAGTTTTGTTTCATTGCGGTAGGAGGATGGTTTTTATCAGCTCCGAACGCCCCTGTAGACCCCCCACAAATGAAGCCGGGAGGATGCGATTTTGCGCGCGCGCGGCGTCATGTGTAGTGCCGAAGCGCGTGGCTCTCGGGGATTTCGACACTAAACCCTCGCCACGGCCGTTTTTATGCTTGGGTTTCACTATTGTTTTGCAAGTAGTACATAACAATATACAATATTCGGTTATTTATTGCGGTTTTTACGGTCTTACGGTGCAGTTCTTCGCGGGAGTTTTTTTTTGTTTTTTTTTTTTTTTTTTTTTTTTTTTTTTTC